GAGAGAGAGAGAGAGAGAGAGAGAGAGAATGTTATACGGAGCGGGTTGTCCCAGCACGTGAGACATGTATTTACTAATGTCCTGTCTTGTTGTGTGCAATCTCCTGCCATTGTTAACGACCAAGACAAATTTCTCCCTGCGAGATGAATAAAGATTGTCATTGTCATTGTCTTTTGTGCCATCATGACAGGGCCTTACGTGGATGGAATATATAACATGTATGTTTAATGGCTAACAATAGTTTAAATAAAATGAGCCCAATCCAGAAAAACAGACACATCTCATTGACTATTAAAGTACTGAAATCATATGCATGGTCAACCTTCTATATGGCCGTGAATGTTGGCCAATCACTAAAGACAGTGAAAATAGAATAGAAGCAACAGAAAAGTGGTTTCTAAGGAGACTGCTGAGAATATCTTGGAAGAAAAAGAAACCAAAAGAGGAAGTACCTGAAGAAAGCCACGTGGGCCGCTCGCTGATAAAAACAAATATGAAAAGGCAATCAATTAAATTCAGTTCTTGGGACACCTTAATAGATATAAATGCCTTCAACATCTAGCTCTAACTGGCAATAATGAAGGAAAATGATGCTAGTGTAGGCGTAGAGCAACCCAGTTGGAGAACCTAAACAGATAGGTGACACGGAAAGATCAAGGTAATGCAGCTTTCTTGAGAGCATTGGAGCAAAGGATTACATGAAGAGCCATGGTTGCCGATGTCTGTCGCAGATCTGGCACTTGATGATGATGATGTTTAATGTGACTGTTAATCCCAATAACCTTCGGGAACCACAAACTCTCAATTATGTTTGTTGTCTGTTTCAGTGAAAATGCCTTCGCGGTGTGAGGAAGAAGCGTAGCTAACAATTATATTATACTATGTGCTCTTACTAAAGCCTCAGGGGAAAAAAAACACCATTGTAAAAAGCATTTATTTTAAGCAAACTAAATTAGATCTGTGTAACAGTAGAAAATCCCCGAGGCTGATTCCGTGCTTGTGACCCACAACTTGTGTCCCGCTGGACATAATAACATAACGAATTTATTACATGAGTTAAGGCAGGAGATCATGATTTATCCTACGATTAAAATTGGCAAATTGTAATCACGAATTTGTGTCAACTTAGAAGGTAAACATTTTTGTTGTTTTGGGTTGTTGCTGGGTTTTTTTAGTGTGAGTTTTACGGCACTTGCAACACAATTAGGAAAATATTGTAAACAAAAAAAAATGTATTTTGCCTAAAACATTAATTGACATTTTCAGTACTTATTTTATTTCATTTTTCTTTGGGGGTGGGGAAGGGCGGGGGTTGACTTTGGGAAGATTCTCTAGTTGATGTTTATAATTTTTCTCTTGCCTAACGCCACCACGTACCCGGACAGTCAAATGTGCACAGATAAACAAAACACATATGTAATCTAATGTCCCAATCTCTCTCAGTCTCTCTCTCTCTCTCTCTCTCTCTCTCTCTCTCTCTCTCTCTCTC